TATTTAGAATTTATGAATTTTATGGAAATGATATTTTATGGAATTTTATATATTATTAAGTGTTAATATATATGATAGTTTACGGACCTACTTTTAAGCATGTGCTAGAAAAGGTAACATTTGAGTATCAAAACAACTACTATATACTGTATATTATTATATATTTGTTTTACATATGTTGATATATATTTGTAATGGATAACATTTGAGTATCAAAATAACTAATAAATTTTTATAAATTAAGGTATATTAATGAAAATATATAAATAATTAATGGTGTATATGTATCTTAATATTTTTTATGACAAATAAAATACATTTCAAAATTTTAATTGTTATATTTTTAATTATTCTATTTTATATGTAGGATTTGTCTCCACTACGTAAATAATTTAATTGTTTGAAATATGCAAAATTATATTGAATTGTGTTATAGATTTTTTAAATTGAAAATAATAATTATTATATACACAACCCGTGGACCCAACCCTACCCAACCCGTAAATATCCGGGTTGATTCGGGTCGGTTTTTAAAGTAAAATTACGGGTTTGATGATAAACCCAACCCATTGAAAGTTGAACGGGTTGGGTAACGGGTTAAGGCGAACCCGGTCCAACCCAACCCGCGTACACCCCTACTTTATATACAGATGTATTTGAATGACTTTCAAATGACAAGACTCCACATTGAGTAAAATTAAATATGCTCATATATAAAATTATTTTCATACAATTTTGATGATAACATCATTGTATAATTTTAATACAATGTTCCAGCCACTGAAAATAATATTATACTGTAATTCATATCATCTCTTCAAAAATGTTATATAATTAAAATTATCAAAAAATAAAATAAAAATATTTTCACCACACTCATTAAATTTAATATCTCATAAATAACTTTTCATTCTATCAAATTCTCAAAATATATATACACCAATGTCAATATTATTTCATTATACCAACTTTTCTATTTCACTTGTTTCTCTCTATCATATCATATATGTATTTCTAAAAATTACTTAATTTGTTGTCAATATAATATTAAGTGATATCTTATAATAAAATGAAATATATCTATTCATTTTATTCATACGTATATATACATGTCAAATTGAATTCTCATAATACAAATATTATAAGCCCCATGATAAAATATATTCATTGCAAATTAAAAGCGTCTATATTATGTATATATTCACATAAAATTTTATCTATAACAAAATATCTTTTAATTGTACACTCTTATCTCAAATTATTATTGAGAGTAAATAGTATTGAAATGTATTTAAGTGATATCAGGGTGAATCAAACACAATAACATAATATCATTTACCATCAACAATCACATATCATAAAATATTGATTAAATATCTTTTTTATCCCTTAACTATATTTTTAGGTTTAGATTGACTCCTAAACTTAAGGATATAATTAAGAGACCAAAAATAGTATTTTATCTAAAATATTTATCTAAATTGTATCACCTCATTAATTTTTTTTATATATTTGTCACACTCTTTAAAATAATATCACACTCTTTAAAATGGAGGATTACATTTTCTTGCTTTTAACACATGCATGTCTAAGCCAATAATTTACAATCTACACACTATAAGTCATTTTATCTTAACATCTTATAGTAACTTATTTCATGATCAAACATACATTAATATTTAAATTAAAATTTTATTGCAATACGAATTCAATGAAAATAATAAAGTTTATACAATAACTTATAAATGAACAAACTTAATATGCCACAAAAAAAAAAATAATAATAGTAATAATAATAATAATACTAATAATAACAACAACAATAATAGTAATAATAATAACAATAATAATAACAATAATAATAATAATAATAATAATAATAATGATACTTTGTTAATATATATTAAGAGAAATGGACAGGCGAGGACGACCACCGAAGGTGGTGTCAACGCCGTCATCATCCATCAGCAACAAAGATGATGATACACCATCAGAGAAAAATTCGATTCCAACCACATAACCCAACCACCATGCAATAGAGAAACCAACAGAGGAGTGTGTGGTAATACAGGAAATCACCGAATCCGAAAACCTAATTTCTCCAAAAGGGGCAACAGAATCTAGACGACTATGGGTCGACGTTATAAGCGGTAATCGGAATCCTGAAAACGGCTTAGCATTGGAATTCATCGCACCAAAGATTGTCAATGGTATTGCAGAAGTAGTAATTGAAGAAGCAGATACGGTAGAAGAGGTTAAATTCTGGGAGATTGCCTTGATCATGTATGTTATGGGAGGAGACCTAAGCATGAACATGGTCAAACAATTTATGATAAAACAGTGGAATTTTGTCAAATTGCCTGACATGTACTACAACAATGAAGGATATTTTGTGCTGAGGTTTCATTCACACAAGGAAAGGGATGATGTGCTCATGAAAGGTCCGTACACCATACGGAACATGCCGATGTTGTTAGCTGAATGGAAACCAAACTTCAACTTGAAGAATGATATGATGCGTACTATCCCTATTTGGATTAAACTGTCTCAATTGCCACTGCACCTATGGGGAGCAAAAAATCTGGCGAAAATAGCGAGTATGTTGGGAACCCCATTGATGGCTGATGAATGCACCGCGAACAGATACCGAATCTCATATGCTAGAGTCCTAGTAGAAATCGATATCACACAAGCACTCATTACTGAGATAGCTATAACGGATGAAAAAGGGGAGAAGATGCAACAACGGGTAGAATATGAATGACGGCCTCCATACTGCACTAAATGTCAGCGTATCGGGCACAAATGTGAGGAAAAGCAACCAAAAAATCCATTAAAGAAGTGGATTCCCAAACAGAAGGAGAACCAAGATGAGAGGATAGCTGCCAATGAAGATGAAACCTTGAAGACACCTACACAAAAAACAGCAGTCAAGGAACATCCTAAAGCTGGGGCAATCGTGCAAACGACAACCAGTAAACACACAGATGAAGATGAAGGTATGCCATGGACAGAGGTTAGAAAAAAAGACAATGTCAAAGCCAAAGGTACTGATACTGCTAGAAGTCCAAAGACTAAAAATCCAACGAAGAACTACGAGAACTTGTATGCATCACTCGAGGATGGTTCAGCCTCGGTGTTCCTAGAAGATATCCCATGATCGTCTCTTGGAACATTAGAGGGCTAAATAAAGCGGGCAAAGTTAGGGAGATCAGCTCTCGTCTCCAAAAACTAACCCCTGCAATTTCTGTTTTAATCGAGACAAGAGTGAAGGCGAAGAATGCAATGCGTATTCGACAGAAACTGAAGTTAAAAGGTAACTATATAGATAACTATTCAAACCATGATAATGGCAGAATTTGGATCCATTGGGATGATAATAGAAGACATGTGGAATCGATGGAGAGCACGGATCAGTTGATACATTGTCAGGTAAAGGATGTACATGGTAACTTCCTGTGTTGGATGACAGACATTTAGGCACAAAACCAGTTGCATCGCAGGAAGGAATAGTGGCGTGACATACAGAAGATTTCTGCACAACAAACTGGATCGTGGATCCTAATTGGTGATTATAACAATGTTCTGAAAACTGAAGACAAAATTGGTGGCAATGACGTTACAGAACATGAATACATAGACTTGATTGAAATGATGAGTAAAACAGGACTCTATGCAAAAGAAAGTGCCGGAGATTATTTCACGTGGTCGAATAAACAGGGAGATAATGCGATTTACTCAAGAATCGATCATGTTCTTTGCAATGTAGAGTGGCTGCAACATAATGGAGATACAACTTTAACAAATATGAACCCCAGCATATCTGATCACACCATGCATGTGTTAGACGATAATACTGAAGTCCAGTAGCCTAGTAAGGGATTCAAATTCATAAACTGCTGCGCTGACTTGGATAAATTCCAGGAAGTTGTAAGCAACTGTTGGAATGAGCCTTTAGAAGGAAGACCAATGTTTGTTCTGTGGAATAAACTGCAAGGCTACAACCCCACATCAGGAAATTGAGTAAACCATTGTCTGACATTCATAGAAAAATAGCACAAGCTAGAGAAGACCTGAACACGACGCATGCGGATTTAATGACGGATTGACTGAATAGAGACAAGATTAATATAGTTAAAGGCTGTTCTGAAAATCTTCTTAAATTGCAAGAACTGGATGATAGCATGGTGAGACAACGAGCCAAAATTAAGTGGCTACGATTAAGTGACGGGAACAACAAATATTTCCATGCCGCCATAAAGATGCAACAACAGCTCAAAAGTATGACGAGAATTCAAAGAGGGGATGGTACCTTTGTTACAAATCAGCAAGGGATGGAAAACGAAGTCATAACATTTTACAGCAATCTGATGGGTACGAAATTGAATGAACTTGACGGCGTCGATATAGAGGCAATGAGAACAGGCAGGCAACTGAATAATACGCAGATAAATATATTGGCTAGTTCTGTAACCGAAGATGAAATCACTATAGCCCTCAAGGGCATTGGTAATGATAAGGCACCAAGGATTGATGGATTTGGAGCCTATTTCTTTAAGAAATCTTGGCAGATCATTAAAGTGGATGTCATAGCAGTTGTGCAGGATTTCTTCAAGAATAACCATATGTACAGAGCTGCTAATTTCTCTATTGTCACTCTAATTCCTAAGCATCAGGGAGCGAACAAGATACAAGATTATCGACCTATTGCTTGTTGTAGTACCCTGTACAAAATCATATCCAAGATTTTTGCTAATTGACTCAGCAAAGTACTCGAGACGATAATATGTGAGAATCAAGCAGCGTTTGTCAAAGGGCAAAAAATCCATAACCATATTCTCATCACGTATGAATTAATTAAATGATACGAAAGAAATAATATCTCTCCACGATGTTTAATGCAGATGGACTTTCAAAAAACGTATGATACGGTTGATTGGAATGCGCTTGAAAAGATTCTGAAGGAGGTGGGATGCCCACAACAGTTCACTAATTGGATAATGATGATGGTATCAACTGTTTCTTATCGATTTAACGTAAACGGGCATCAAACTAAAATCATGGCAGTGAAACGGGGGCTTAGACAAGGTGATCCTATATCACCAATGCTATTTGTCATTGTAATGGAATGCTTGAACATATACTTATACAAAATGCAGGAAGATTGTGATTTCAATTATCACCCTAAATGCGAAAAATTAAAAATCACAAACCTTTGCTTTGCGGAAGACCTGCTTATGTTTTCCAAGGGAGATAAGGTTTCGGTTGAAATGATGATGAAGACATGTGTGAATTTTTCAAAGGCTACAGGTCTAGCAGTGAATCCACAAAAATGTCGAATTTATTGTGCTGGCATGGGTGAGTTGACAAAGCAGGATGTAATTGAAGCCTCGGGGTTCCAAGAAGGTCGACTTCCTTTTAAGTATCTGGGGGTCCCGGTTACAGGTAAAAAACTCTCTGTGCGCCATTATTCACCGTTAATAGACAAAATAGTGGGCAAGATAAAACATTGGACAACTCGGTTGTTAACCTACGCAGGGAGACTTCAACTCATAAACTGTGTTACGTTTGCGCTGACAAATTACTGGCTAACATGTTTCCCATTCCCCAAAACGGTTATTCAGAAGATTGAATCGATCTGCCGCATATTCCCCTGGACAGGAGGTTTCGAAGGGAGTCGTAAAGCACCAGTGGCATGGAAACAGGTTTGCAGACAGCGTAGCCATGGTGGTTTGAATGTCATTGACATTGACGATTGGAATAAAACAACTTTGATGAAATTGTTATGGAATTTGAATGAGAAAGAAGATTCGCTTTGGGTTAAATGGATACAAACTTATTACCTTAAAACCAACAAACTGATGGAGGTCCAGTGTAAAAAGAGTGATTCCTGGATTATAAAAAGTGTGTTCAATCTAAGGGAAGAGTTTCGAAACTTGGGAAATCTGGAAGATATCATGGTAGGAGGAAAAATTAAAATGAGCAAAATGTATATGAAACTACGCGAGCGTGGGCAGCCGGTAGAATGGAAAACGTTGGTCTATGGGAATAACGCGAAACCGAGAGTCAATTTCATTTTGTGGCTTTCTTTCCATGGGCGATTAGCAACAAAGGACAGACTGCTTAAGTATGGTATGTTGGATAATAGTACTTATTGCTTCTGTACGAGAGAAGAAACATTAAACCATTTATTTTTTGAGTGTGAAAGTCTAAAAAACATATGGGAAGAGATTCTAAGATAGGCCCAAATTAACCATAACCCCGGAGGCTGGCATAGTGAGATGAAGCGGCTTATTCAGCAAACCAAAGGTAAAGGAGTCCGCGCTGCAGTCATAAAAATGGCAGTTTCTGAGACAATCTATGAGATCTGGAATGCTAGGAACAACAACATTTTAGGGAAGAAGACTGAGATCAATACAATAGGACAGAAAATTTCAGATACACTGGTGTATAGAGGATGGAATACTAAGAAACTCAAAAAATATATAGCTACCTTAATGATAGAGGGGGGATAGGTATCTTGATAATAGGTTGTTTTTTTTTCCTTTTTTAGTCAGTTAATGCTGTGATGTGTAGCTGGATCCGAATGGATCGCTTGTATTTAGTGTTTTTTTTGTTTAATAAAGTATTTTATTTCCAAATAATATTAATAATAATAATAATAAGGGTTAAATATGTTTGTGGTCCTCCTAATATCTCAAATTTTGTTTTTAGTACCTTAAAATATTTTTTTCAAAGAATGTCCTCTTAAAATTTTCTATCCACACTTTTCTTACCCGTATGAGCCTTTTTCATGGGATCTCCAATCACAAAAGTTGGATTCCCATCACTTGTTAATTTAAGTTGTGGCTTAAGTCCAATTTCTCTCGTCGTGTTCACAAATTAGTTTCTTTTCAGAGACTTTGTCATACAATTGATCAAGATCATTCTGATCTCACTTCACATGAATTGAGAATATTATCTTATCTTTTAGTAGTTACTTTATATATAAATGAGGAAGCCACATTTTTTCTTTCTAAAAATATTGACTAAGACGACTCTAAGTCAATTAAATCTCAAATATTTACTCATATATTTAACATTTAAACTTGATATCCACAAATAAATGTATATTTAAATATATAAGCAAAATTACCTCTAACATAAATATCATATAAATAGGATATAAATAAATCCACTTATGCCTTTATATATAGGTCTATTTGAATGACTTTCAAATGACAACACCCCTGGATTGAATAAAATTAAATATACTTATATATAGATTTGTTTTCATACAATTTTAATCCATAACATCACTGTATAATTTTAATACAATGTTCCAGCCACTAACAATAATTGATAGAGAAATAAACCTTTAATACTTTTATCTATCTTATATATAACAATTTTATCTATTAAAGGTTGTTGCTAAGAGAGATAAAGGTATTAAAGGTTTTGATTAAGTCAAGTAAAAAAATATTATTTGAACAAAGTGAAATCATAAATAATATTTATAATTATAATTTTCTTATAAAATATTTTATCACATTTTTTATTTAAAATTAAAAGATAAAGTTAATTTAAAACTTTTGAAATATATATCAAAATTTACAACACGGGTATGAGTTGTACCCACAGGATACAGGTACATGTATATATATTGACGCTTACGTAGGTATGAGTTTAAGTAGGAAGATTTTTTTAAAACTCAGATATATGGACGGATATTATATTATTATAGTATCCTACTCAAACTCTATCCATTATCATCCTTACACTCACATCCGATATTCCTATACAACTACCGATTAAGTTGTCTTAACGTGTCAAAACATGGAGAGTTTTAAAATTTACAAAAATTAGTCTCTATGTTTTAAATTTTAAATTTCACCTATGACTTTTAAAATTAATGATGCAAAATTTTTAATAATAAATAATTTTTACTTTATTCAAACAAAGAACTTAAAAATAAATTAATTTAAATTGAATTATTTGAATTGATTACAATTTTAAATTATTTAAAAAAATTCAATTATTTAATTGACACACTCTTAGTGTATAAGCTAAGCAATATAAAACATATAGTTTTTTTTAATTAAACAAACACATATAGTTTTTTAATAATGTGAAATTTATGATTTTTTTAAGAAATTCGTATCAATATTAAAATTTTGACAAAATCCAACAATTAACGTTTTTAAAAATGGAGAAGAATTTCCGTATTTGTAAAAAAAACTAATGAATAAGTGTCATATTACATGCATCTCTCTTGACTCTTTGTTGTGTTGAAATTTTTTTGTATACAATTTTAATGTGTGAGACACTTTTGTGAGAAGAGAAAGAGAATAAGAAAATAAGGATTTATTAAACTGTTCTCAAATAATAATACATACTATGAGTGTTTATATACACTCAAAATAACAAACTCTAATTAGGTTTAGGCCAACACAACTTGAATTATATCTAAATATTAAATCTAATCAAATCTAATATAATATTTCAACATACCCCCATAATCGAAGTTGTCGAATCTATGTTAATCATAGTCGATCTGAACTATTCATAAATTCTTTCTCAAATTCAGGAATCTGTCGATCTTCAATCCTTTGCTGAAAATGTCGGTCAATTGTGCTTCACTTGAGCAGTGTCTAACTTCAAGTTCACCTCGATTTACCTTTTTTCTTAAGAAGTGAAATCTAACTTCGATATGCTTACTTCTTCCATGCAGAACTGGATTCTTCGCTAGATTTATGGCAGACTTGTTGTCGATTTGCAACACAAGAGGTTTCTTCACTTCGACCTCCATTTCTTCAAGTACCAATTTGATCCAAATTGCTTGACATACAACATAGGATCCTGCTATATCTTCAGCTTCACATGATGATAATGCCACCACAAGCTGCTTTTTTTAGCACCAAGAAATTGGGGCACCAAATACTTGAAAGAAATATCCAGTAGTGCTTCTTCGGTCTTCCTTATCTCCGCACCAGTCAGCATCTGAATAACAAGTAACCATAACTTCTTTGCTTTCAGAGTCTCGTTGAAATAAAATTCCATAGTTTGTCAATCCTTTTAAGTATCTAAGGATTCTTCTTGTAGCCTTCATGTGTGACACCCTTGGTTCACTCATGTATATGCTCACTAACCCGACTGAGAAACATATATCAGGTCGACTGTTACACACATATCTTATAGATTCGACAATTTGTTTGAACAAAGTTTCATCAACTTTGTCTTCCTTTCCACACTTCTCCAACTTTAAATTTGGCTCGATTGGAGAAGATGCAGGAGTCGAATCATCCATCCTGAATCTCTTGAGTATCTCTTTAATATACTTTCTTTGATGTAGCACTATGCCTTGCTTCGGCATTTGAAATCCCATGCTTACGAAGTATGATAACTTTCCCAAATCCGACATTTCAAATTCCTTCTTCATCAGCTCTTTGAACTTCGACAAGTTCTTCAAGCTATTTCCAGTTACTAGAAAGTCATCGACATATAAGCAAATTATTGTTATACCTTGTGCCACTACTTGAACATAAACACCATACTCAGTTTTGCATTTTATGAATCCCAATTCAATCAAGTATGAATCGATCTTCTTGTTCCATGCTCTAGGTGCCGGCTTAAGACCATAAATCGCTTTGTGCAACTTGTATACTTTACCTGCTTCCTCCTGAATCATAAACCCAGGAGGTTGTGTGAGATACATCTCTTTTTCTAAAGGTCCATTCAAAAATGTTGATTTCACATCTAAGTGAAATATTGACCAACATTGCTTGCATGCCAAGGCCACCGTTAGTCGAACAGTTTCCAATCTTGCGACAGATGCAAATACTTCAGAGTAGTTAAGTCCTGCTCTCTGGAGAAATCCTCGAGCTACCAATCTCGCCTTATACCTTGCTACCGACGGATCAACATTGAGCTTCAACTTGAACACCCACTTTACTTCGATAGCTTTTGTACGGGCTGGCAATTCGACCAACTCTCATGTGTTGTTTCTTTCAATTGCTTGTAACTCTTCGACTATAGCAGACTTCCATTGTTTATCTTTGAAGGCTTCGTTATAGTTGATTGGTTCAACACCTACAAGTAAAGCAAAATGGACTAGTTCCCCATCTATTATGACTTCATCATCACCAACTACTTCATAGTCTTGAAGTCTTGTTGGACGAGCTCTAGTTCTTTTAGGTCTATGACTTATGTCAACCATATCTTCTTCGAATTCGACCGTGTCAAGAATGTCAACAACTTCTTTGACTAGAGTATCAACAATGTCTTTGACATCATTACTTGCTTTGTCGAAATCATAGCTCATCAGTGGCTTGTCAATTGCATGACTAAAATTCCAATCCCAGGTAGAATTTTCATCAATCACAATGTCTCGACTCATCATAATCTTCTGATTAATTGGATTGAAGAACCTGCATGCTTCAGTCTTATGATATCCTACCAGAATCATAAGTTCACTCTTATCATCAAGCTTCCTTCTCCCAGCATCAGGAATGTGCTTATAACAAATAAAGCCAAACACCTTCAGATGACTCACTGATGGTCGTTTTCCACTCCATACTTCTTCAGGAACCTTGTTCTTCAGCTTCTTGGTAGGGCACCTGTTCAGAATATAAACAACTTTCAAAACAACTTCTTCCCCATAATGATTTTGGCAAATTCTTCTGCTTCAACATCCATCTTGCCATATCCAATATGGTCTTGTTTCTTCTTTCTGTTATTCCACTATGTTGAAGAGTATAAGGAGCAGTTATCTCATGATCAATACCATGTTCTGCACAGAATGCTTCAAATATCTTGGATGTGTATTTGTCACCTTCATTTGTTCGCAGAACTTAAATTTTCTTTTCACCTTGGTTTTCGACAAGTAAATCTCTTAAAGATTTCGAATACTTCGTCCTTTCGTTTGATCACATAGATCCAGAGCTTTCGACTGTAATCATCAACAATGAGACGAAATACCTGTTTCCACCAATGGTATGCTCTTCAAAAAGACCACATACATCTGAATGTACAACTTTGAGTATGCAGGATAATCTCATTAGCATAGTCAAAACAAAAGACTTCATGGACTGCTTTCTGACTAGGCAGCCTTCACAGAGTTTGTCGGGCATCTCAAGACTTGGTATACCAGTTACCATATCGTGAGTGATCAATTGATTTAGCGATATAAAGTTTAGATGGCCAAATCTCAGATGCCACAACCAACTATTCTTGTGGTCGACAACTGTTTTCAAACATTGTACCTCAATCAAACTGATCATGGTCTTAAATGTTCTATTATTCGATAGAGGAGATTTCAAGACCAAGTTATTCTGGATGTTAAAAAGTTCTAAGGCTCCATCTTTCATAACCACTGAGAACCCCTTTTTGACCAGTTATTATATACTTAGCATATTGCACTTCATTCCTGGGACATAAAGTACATCTTTGATCAAGGCTTTTACTCCATTACTCATTTGAATAACTATGTTGCCATTACCTTCTGCTGGCAACGAGCTAATATCAACAAGTTTACCTT